CCCTCTGACGCGGCCGCCGGGGCCGGCAGAAACGGCTGCGCTGCCGGCGGCTCCGTGCTGGGGCTCCCTGCGGGCCTGAAATCCCGAAGCACGGGCGGGCCTGACATCAGCTTGCCGTGCCCACGCACCCCGGGGCTGTGCCCAGGGACCCCACTCGCCCTGGTTTCATGGCCAAGCAGCCACCCGAGGGGCCGCTGGCCCCCGACACGGCAGGGAGGTTAGGCTGCCCCGGGACACTCGCTGATGAGGTGCTTTGCAAACAGGGAATTGCATCAGGACGGCCCAGCCCGGGAGCTGCCGGGGCCGTACCCTGCCTGCCCCAGCAGCCCGGAGCCCACGGAGCCAAACCGACACCGAGCGGGCACCGCCAGCGCCCGGCTGCCTGCAGCGGCGTTACGCACGGGATCCCCAGCCCCCAAAGCTGGTGCGCTCTGGCCGGGAGGCAGCATGGGAGGCTGCCGTGGCCTCACACTCCCCGAGGACGCAGCCTGGGGACACAGAGCCACTTCGGGGTGCGCTCGGGGTGCCCCAGGGTCCTCCTGAGGATGCTGCTGCAGGAGGGAAGGGGAGGGGGAAGAGAAGATCCGGAACCCTGATTTCGCCCGTCCCCACGCTGGGGTCCACATGGTCATGGTACCATTCTGAGGAGAGGCCAGCGCTGGGGTTTGAGCCGGCTCCTGCCCCGCTGAGCCCTCTCTGGAGCCGGGGGAGCAGCCCCTGAGGGGTGGCCCGTGTTTCACACGGGAGCCTGAGACACCTCATCCCTGGGTCACCACGATCAAAAGCAGCGAGGCCGGGACAAGTGCCTGCCGGGAACCTGTGCCTCGGCGGCACAAGGCCGGCCGGAGGGATGCCAGATGCCGCGTGGCTGGAAGCGCAGCTCCCAAGGACTCAAGACCCTCACCCGCGGCTGGGGCCCAGGCCCAGCCTCTGCCAGTGCTTCTTCAGCAGAAGATGAAAGAAAAGGTGGCTCTCCCCACCCTGGACCAAGCCCAGGACAGGCTTTCATCATCTAAAGGCTTAGAGCAGCCAGAACTTCAGTCTCTCCCAAACTGTTCGCCTCCACACATCCAAGCACCCGCCACACCCCAAAACGGGGATTTTTGGGGTCACTTGCAAAGATCCCAGACACGGATGCAAGTTTTACGGCTCCATCTCCTCCCTTCAAGACGAGGGACTGCAGGCAGCGGCTCAGCACCCCGTCCTGGGGGGAACCACGTCCCCCCCCCAACAACACCCTGCACCCAGGGAGGAGGGTCCTGCCCCACCACCGCACCCATGGGTTGGTGCGTCCTCATTTTCAAGCGTCTTGGGGGCAGTCAGATGGAGGACACCGGTTCTTCACAGCCTGCATGGTACAAGCCCGCAGGGGAGAGCGGGACCCACCCGAGACACCCTCGAATTGGGAAGGTGGGTTCGGATAAACGCCCCCAACTAGGAAAGACCCGAACCAGCCCAGAGCAATCTGCTCCCTCCTCTTCCTCCAAGGAACAGGGACCCCGGCGCGCCGGCCAGCCTCTCCCCGACCTTCCGGCCGCGGGGCCTTTTCTTGCCCCGCTCTTCGCGAGCGAGGACGCGGCAGGGACAGCAGCCCCTGCTGCTCCTGCGTTACGGGCTCCGGCTGCCCGCACCCACCTGAAACCACCCACAGCCTTTGCTTCTGGCGAGGGAACGGACACTTCCAGAACCCCCCTGAAAAGGAGGGGGGAAAAAACCCCTCCGTGACTGTTCCCTGAGCAGGCTTTCACCTCAGCTCCAGGGTCCTCCAGGCTGCAGACACTACCTCATTTCCCCCTGCCCCCTCCCAGCCCCGGCAATTACTACTTAAGCTGTTAAAACAAGCGTGGCCAGTCTGGTACGAAGTGGAAAATCTGATCCTAGGGAAGCGAGCAGGCAGGGGAAAAGGGAGGTCAAGGGGAGGTGGGATGGGAGCGAGAGAGAAAAGGATCAGGCAAGAAGTCTCCCTCCACCCCAGGAGAAACCCCCCTTCCCCAGGGCTCCGGGCCCCAGCCAACGCCTCCGAACGCCAGCCCCAGTGACCCCCCGGTGGTGGTGACGCCCCACTGGTGACCCCGGTGCCCTGAGCTCCCTCCCTTTCCCCTTCCCAGGTCACATTTATCCCAGGCTGACCGGCAGCTTAGGGCAGCCTGGGTAGGATGGGTGAATACTGCTGGGGCCCTCGGTCCTCTCCGCCCAGGATCGCTCCGACCCAAAGCGGCGATTCGAGGCTTCAACCGTCCCCGCCAAACCCGTCCCCGCGCACCAGGGAGTGCGCGCAGCCCCGGGCCCGCCGCCGGGCAGCCTGCCTCCCTACAGCCACCTCCCCCGCTAAAGGCCTTGCAGGCTACTCTGCTGTCTTACAGCTCTGCTACCCAAAAATCAGCAATTCTGGGAGAATCAAGCCTTTAATAAGAACAGTTTTAGCTTCTGCATTGGTAGAGAAGGGCAAAAAGAACCCCAGAGCCAGGACTTGTGACTCTAAGACCCCCAGGCACCACAGCCCGAGGTTCCCACGAGTCACGATGAGGCGGAGGCGGAAGGGGCCATAGGCGCCTCCAGCACAGCGGGCCCAAAGCCCCGGCTTCGGGCAAAACTCCCCCCTCTTCCCTTCAACCTCTTCCCAGCCCCCAGGAAAACTGATACAACTTCTCCACCTTTCAACTGGTAGTTCAAAACAAACAAACAAAAAAAGACTTTAATTTATACAAAACAAAACCATATATAATCAGTTGAACAACATTGACTGTACAAAGGAATAAAAAAAAAAAAATAGTCCAAAAAAAACAACTCGGGAATGGTACAAGTGTTGGAGAGCAGCTACAGACTAGTGTTGACATCAGATGCAAGAATCTTTTCCTTTTAAATTAAAAAAAAAAAAAAAAAAAAAAAAAAAAAAAAAAATTTTCACTAACACACACCCCCCAGTGAAAAAAAAAAAAAAAAAAAAAAAAAAAAAAAAAAGTTTTCACTGAGCAAACGCTCCAGGTGAATCTTCCATCCTCGCTCCGGACAGGATCTGTTGAGACCTTTTACGGTGAGAAAAAAAAAAAAAAATCAATCAACCGCAGGGGAAAAGGCGCGGGGAGCGTCACACGTGGCAAAGGCGAAGCGGGCGGAGGCACGGCACGTTTTGCTGGCCATGCAGCAGCTCTGTGATTTCAGGAAGGAAACCTGCGTCCCTCTTCGCCCTGCGCACCGGCGCCCGGGAGCCGCCCGGCAAAGGGGCCCCGCGGCGCCCGGGTGAGGTTTTCCAGGAGAAGCGGCTTCGGCGGTGCCGGGGTGCATCACCTGTCGGCCGTATATCCCGGGCTGCTGAGCCAGCGATTGTCTTCTGCTGCGTGTAAAGTGATGGCAAACAGGTGCCAGCCACCCCAGACAGGTTCTCGAAATCCCCCGGCCTCTGCGCCACCACGCCGAGCCCGGCTGCGGCTTTGCTCTTGAGCCAACCCACCACTACAAAGGATTCTTCTCCCCCCTCCATCTGCCTGGGGTTTAATTCCCTCCTCGCTCATTTGAGCTGGGCAATAAAGCACGCTAGAGAGGAGCCAAGAGACCTGCCCCCGTACTGCGTTTTGTTCTACAGAGCGGGGTGGGGGAAGGCTCCTTCCCCTCCCCGGGCAGCTCAGAGGCAAGGGGAAGGAGACGTCCCCGCGGAGGGATGCGCCCCTGCCCGCTGCCTGAACAAAGCGGGTCCGTCGGCCGCGCGGGAGCCGCTGCGGCTTCATTCTGCCCACGCAATGCCACAAGCTGCTCTGGGGGGGGAGAAGAGCCAGCCCAGGCCTCAAGGAGTTGCTAACACCGGGAGGAAGACGGCAGCACTGTGCCGGCTGGCTTCTCACTGAGGAGACCGGCGAGCACAAGGAAAAGCAGTTCACTTTCTACCACGCTACTCACAATCCACACGTCCTGGCCGCCTACGAGAATCTGTCGACACAGCTTAGTCCCACTGCCAAGCCCCGCTTAACTTTTGCGGGAAGGGCTGGGCGTTAGTTCTAAGTTTCCAGGTGAATTTCCAGCACAGATTGGCCATGGAACGAAGCCAGGGGAGCGCACGCCCTTGCTTGACACAAGGCCTTCTCCCACGGCACGTGCAGGTCTCGAGCTCTTGCCGCGGAGCACACGTGCCCCTCTCAAACCCGGGAGCAGTCCTACAGAGCAAAGCAGCTCGCTTTCCCGATTTCCTGGCGCTGCCACGAAAGCCGAGCGCATTCGCCGCGATGGGTCCCGGGGATCGCTGTTGTCCCACACAAACTTTTCACCTTCCCAGTCCCGGCTCCTTCACGCTCCAGTGGGAAAAGCTGCTTCTGTCCTTTCCCCACTTTCATCCAGGAGGAGCCGCAGCAACGCTAGCTCGGGCTGAACGTCTTTGGAAAAGCAAAGCAAGAAGCAGCCAGGATTCGGGGGCTGTCGCACGGGGTGGTGTCGTGGCAGGGTCCAGGGGGCTGTGTCGTGGATGGAGGGCTCTGGAAGCGACGGCCGAGGCTTCGCAGCAATAAGGGACAAATTCAGCCCTTTCCCTCTGCTTTAGGCGCGATGCTTCCAGCCTCTGCTCCTCGGTCTGACCTCAGAGCTGCCTCTTCGCCCTGCCTGCCGAAAACAAACCCCGAGACCCCGGCCTCTCCGCTCTGCCCCTCAATCCACTTACATCCCACCCTGCCTTCGGCACTCACAAGTTTTAGGGAATGATCGGAGTAAAGCAGCTTGGGGTACGTTACACACGAATCGGTCTTTCCTTCTGCATATGTAGTATCTAAAAAACACCCAGCACAAGCCCAGGTGGTGATTGAAAGTCTCTTAAAGCATTTCTATATTTACATTGGAAAATCCTCCACTTCTCCCCTTTTGCTGGCACTGGGAAAGTTAATCCAGTGCTTGTATTTACATGGCTGCATAAAATTTTCCCTGACTGCTTCTTAAAAAAAAAACCTTAAAAAACAAGTGAGATATATATATATATGTATAATATTTACATAAATAAACGAAGAAGGCAAGCAGACTGCTTCCTTCCCCTTTCCAATTGGCCAACTCTTGCCTCGCTTTCTTTGTTTTTGGCAACGGCAGGTTAACATCCCGGTGAAAACTGTCTTTAGTCCCCCGTCCCCGTTTCTTTTTTTTTCTACATCCAAGGATCACTATTGCACCAGCAATCTGTTCAGGAGTCTAAGAGTTAAAGTTGCAGCACAGACTCTCCTTGCCTACTCCCTTAAGCCTCTCAATCTTCCATTAAATCCATTTCTCCATTGAGACTGGATGAGCTTTTTTCCCTTCCCCCCTCCCCAACCCGGCAGCTGCTGAATTTTCCACCCCAGGCCGAAAGGCAAAGCCCAAAGCATTCTTGGAGGGTCACTTGGCAGAGTCCTCTCCCCGCCAGCGTGGCGAGATCCAGCCGGCACCACGCTTCCTATGCGAAGCCAAAACGTGAGCACATTCCCAACGCTTGTGCGTGCCATCAGAAAAGCAACCGCGGCCCATCCGAAAGGATCCAGTCGAAAAGGGTTAAGTGTGCAAACAGCTGTACATCGGTGGGTGGGTGTGGATACGTTAGAAGCTCACGGCGCGTCCATCCTGCTAAGAGATCTTGCAGTTGTTGCGTGAGCAGTTCTGTGGGGGGCTCTGGGGCGGACGAATTGATTTGGATCTCTTCAGGCTGTTACCTTTGCTGCTGCTCCCACCTGCGCTGCTGGCCAAGGAATAGGACCGGCCATGCATCATCACCGCGTTCATCCCGTTGGCCATCGAGAAGGATTTCAGGTGACTCTTGATGGTGACAGGCAATGGCAGCTTATCAATGAGGTGGACCGGGGTGCAGGAAACGATGGCTCGGCAGCACAGGTCCTGTAAGCTGAACACTGGTGGGAGAAAAGACCAGACGGTGAAGGGCCAAGGGATTTCAAGGGCTGCCTTCTGCCTACAGCTATGCCTTACGCTGTGCAGCTCCTGCTCCTTTGGGGAGAGATGCTAGTAATGACTGCACAGGAGCCTTGAACAGGGAGCAGATTAGTTAGGACAAAAGCTTACGAAACTCCAGGTAAGCTCTGCCTTAGAGGTTAGTGCTTTGCGAGACACCAGCTTTGGTGTCAACACGGTGCTTAGACATTGCCACCCCTCCTCCCTTGCACAGTGCCCAGGACTGGCAGCGCCTTGCTGACGTTCCTGCCAGGCACTTAGCTTCTCAGGCCATCGTTTGGCAATCAGAAGGACGTGCCCAGGGAAGGAGGCAAGAGGGCCAGCAAGCCCTGGAGCAGGGTGTCGCCTGGGACCTGCTCAGGGAGCAGCAGCCACGGGGCCAGCGCTCTGCAGAGCGCCCGCAGCAACAGAGACCCCACCAAGCCAGAAGGCGGCTCTGCCCTTTCAGGCTTCCCAGCGTCCTCTTAGCTCAGCGTCCACCATGAGCCCGCTTTGGGAAGTCTACTTGGAGGGGATTTCCCAGCAAGCGGCCACACGAGGGCACACTCTCACCTCCAGCCTGCCAGGAAAGCCACGCTGCTGCTCCCCGGCAGGCAGCAGTCACAAGTCATAGAATCACGGAATCGTTAAGGTTGGAAAAGACCCTTAAGATCATCGAGTCCAACCGTTAACCCAGCACTGCCAAGCCCACCACTAAACCATGTCCCTCAGC